AGGGAGCAATGAGTATCAAGAGATAAGGAACCATTAATGAGCCCTCTGCCTTGGTTTCAATTACAGTGTAAAATTAATTTAATGCACTTTAAGAACACAAGAGGTAATCTCTCTCTCTTCGTAAGAGGTTGCAATTTGCTCTAATAAAGTGTCAATATAAATATGTTACTTTAAGACAGAGAGAACAAGTCAGTTAATTCAGAAAGAATGGGACAGATTAAAACAAATGCTATCAAGGAAACCAAATGGCAAAACTAATAAATAAACTGTCTGAACGAAAATTGTATGGCAGAGAGCTGGTAAATCAGGCTTTAATGAGAAACTTGGTTTTAAAGAGTGGTTTATGCTAATGATATGCACCCAAGTGACTAATGCTGTGAAAGATGACATTACTCCAGTAATTTAGAGGAGTAGCCCATGTGAGGAGAGATATTTATAGCTGGATGTGGTAAGAAATCTGAGACCAACGAGTCTGAAAACACACACACAGACACAAGAGGTTAATAATGCTTCTGGATTGGAAATATGCTGGCAGAACAGGGAAGGGCTACAGAGACGAGACAAACACACAGAGCTTTCTGATGGACTGCCACCACAGCAAAGGCTGATGAGTCCCTGCCACCGGCCCTTCCCTCTGGGATCAGCCAAGACACTGAATGGAAGGAAATGAGTTCAACAGCGGTGCTTACCCAGTGGGTATCTGCTATATCTCCTAGCTCTGCTTTGGAAGATGCACTACTGGTGCCACGACCAACTGCTCTGAAATGCTGATACCCCCCAACATTTAATAAACCAATACATAAAGATTTGAGAGATCTTTCTGGCAACCACAAGAATCTAGTTCATCTCAACAGGAGCAGCAAGCACAAAACCATGCATTCATGGATGGCAACAACTCCTGTGGGAAGCTGAACTGAAGTGGGGTTGGTCTGAACGATCTATTTCTTGCTAAAAGGGGAGCAGAGAAAACCAGAACATCTCCAAAATTCTCTTAAATGAAATAAAATGCTTTTTAGAGAGTTCATAATAGAATCATCCCAGACTGGTTTGTGTTAGAAGGGACCTTAAAGCTCATCCAGTTCCATCCCCCTGCCACGGGCAGGAACCCCTTCCACTAGAGCAGGTTGCTCCAAGCCCCTATGTCCAACCTGGCCTTGAACACTGCCAGGGATGGGGCAGCCACAGCTTCTCTGGGCACCCTGTGCCAGCACCTCAGCACCCTCACAGGGAAGACATTCTTCTCAATATCTGTTGTCTGCTTCCATTTTCCTGGGTCTTACAAAGGGAATTGCCTCCCAGTCTGCTGAAGTGGCAGCAGCAGAGCAGCCTCATGAGTCTCTCAGGTAATTAAAGCTCTGCAGCTTCTGCCCAGGTGCCCTGCAGCAACACCCAGGATGTGTTAAACCCCCAGGAATAGGCTTTCGTTGCCTAACACATTTCATTGCCTAATTACTCCCACATTCACATTTAGTGCCCTTGTTAATCCAGTGCTTCAAGAGAACCATTTGCCTCATTTAAACACATCTTGATCCCAATCTTCCTGGCACTGGTGTAAATCAGAACTCATTTCACTAATGTTAATGGAGCTTCTGCAAGTGTCAAATGTGTAGGAATGGAAAAATTAGGCCTGTATCCCCAAATGCATATTTAGTCTGGCACTAGCAGTATGTATTTATTTTCTTCCATCAAAACAAAATATGCTTTTTCTCTGGTACCAACTCGAAGCTTTTAAGCTGTCAGTGCTGAGATCAGCTCTGCCTTCAATAAAGTTGTGGGGTTTTTTCCTCACTTTTAATACAGACCCCACGGGGGTATCTTTGTGAGCAGCTCTGATGATTTCCTTCAAGGCAGACTACAGGTTTGCTCATTGTATCCTCAGAAAGACAGTGATGTAAATACAGGTGAATACAGGGCAATGCCATTAAAGATAATCAATGTAATGAGTCGAAAACAGCAATAGGTCATCTAGAACATCCGAGCTAACAGCTTTTGAACAGGCCACAATGTAATGTTAATTTTGTGAGTGTCTCTGTCGATTGCTGCCCAGCAGAGAGAGGGCAGATATGACACCCTTCCTCAGGAGTTGGGATGCTGGAGCGTCTGAATCCTATTCATATGGAGTTAATGTATGGTGGGAATTCAGCCTCATGACATATGGAAATCAAAACCTATGGGAAAGCTCCAAAGCACAGAACCACCCTGTTCAACTATTGTTTGGCTGCACATACTTCATAGAATTCCAGACTGGTCTGAGTTGGAAGTGACCTTAAAGCTCATCTAGTTCCAACCCCCTGCCACAGGCAGGGACATCTTCCACTAGAGCAGGTTGCTCCAAGCCCCTGTGTCCAACCTGGCCTTGAACACTGCCAGGGATGGGGCAGCCACAGCTTCTCTGGGCACCCTGTGCCAGTGCCTCAGCACCCGCACAGGGAAGAGCTTCCCAAGTGCCAGCAATGGGAGATACTGTCAGACCACAGATATGCTTGTGATGCTACACCTGCTGTGAGCTGCAGGAAATACTATCCCTTTGAAGAGCTAAAGCTGTGTAAAATTAGCCACTGCTGGGCATGTTCCAGTGTCCTTGCTGATGGTCAGGCACTGGGAAGTACGACATTGCCATTCAGTGACTGTGGACAAGAGAAAAAAAAGGAGGGAAAAAACTTCCATAGAGAGATAGAAATAAGATATCTGCCTGTGAGTCCAAAGTCATATCCATTGAGACAGTGAGAATAAACACTAGACCTACCATCACTTCCTTTCCTTCTCCATGCATGTCTATCACGAGAAAAATCCTAAAGAATAAGCCCATCCAAAAGCATTGGCTTTTGGTATCCTCAGGCTCTCCCCATCTCTTTTATCTCTCTTATCAAATAAATATTAGTAAGAGATCCTTTTGTAAAAAGAGATGACATTCAGACACAACAGTATGAGAGAGGCTTATTGACTCCTCCTGGTGACCTGATGGGTTAATGAAAATTAAATCAGTTTGCAGAAGTCACCTTAAGGTCAAACACTTCTGTGACATGTTTCTGAAGGACTCAAATCAGACAGTGCAAATCAAAAGGTCATGAAGGCTGTCATTTTCCAAACTACAGAGGATTTTCTTTGTTAGTCACAGAGCAAATACCCTTCCTGCTAGTGTGACAACTTTCTTCCACCAACTCCAGAAAAAGGAAGGACTAAACCATAAGAAACTACAATATTTCATCTAGTTTCTCTGGTCTCATGAAGAAATCTCTAGTCATGCACTGGGAAAACCCTGGGAAGACTCATGTCATGCAGGCTCGTCTCACCCACTCCTGCTCCTTCTCTTTCCACCACCAGAAAGCCAAAACAAGGTATTCGAAATGGTCACATCTCTACCAGCTGGAACTCAGGGGGAAGGAAGAGAGACTGAGACACACATAATGTTTGTAACCAGAGAATGAGTTAAATAAAGATTTTACAAAGACTTTTCAAAAAGGGAGGCCACAAGAGGATGGCGGGACCACCAGAGCCACAGATGAAAAGGAGAAAGGAGGGAGAAATGGCTCATGCTCCTTGGCTCTCAGTGGTGACACAACTGCTTACAGCCCCACCTGGCTGCACACCAGCTCTTGGCAGTGAATTGACTGCATGGGTGGGATGCACATGAGCACTCCCCATCTCTATGCACAGCCTTCTCTAATGGACTGGGGGATGTCTCCAGATGCAGACTGAACAAGTCCTCTTCTGCTACCCAGGAACTGTTAGCTGGGCTTTTTTGAGCCCTCCCAATAGCTCTGTAAGTGTAGATGCAGAAAGGATCAGGTGAAAGTACCTAAAGTATCTAACTTCTGTTGCTGCCACAAGACAGAAAGGAGTGAAAAGGATGGGAAAAATAGGATAGTGCCTCAAAAAAGAAAATAAATCATGGGTCCCTGCCAATTTTGTTTAACTCTCTAAAGACTCCACAGGCAGTGATGCAGTTATTTCGTATTAGACCAAAGCAGCAAGGGCACAAGGTGGCCACCGTAAATTTGGGAAATGGAGAGCTACCTCCATGGACAGCAGGGCCCATGGCCATTACCAGATCATCCTCTTATGGCTCATTTTGAGACTCTGACAGAAGTGACTCTGGCAGTGTTCAAGACCAGGCTGGACAGGGCTTGGATCAACCTGCTCTAGTGGAAGGTGTCCCTGCCCGTGGCAGGGGGTTGGAACTGAATGAGCTTTAAGGTCCTTTCCAACCCAAACCAGTCTGGGATTCTGTGACATGTGTTGAGGAGTCGTTTTACAGCCACTCCTCTGTGTTACAGGTAAATTGGTTTCTGACACTTTTGCTGTGAAAACAGTCCCTGGAGAGATTTTTAAGTCCTTACAAGAGTTGTTAAAAGCAACTCTAAGCTCCAGGAAGGAACCCAGACATTGTCATCACTGAGAGCTCTACCTTGTGAAGCAACCTAGGGATGGGAGCATTGCATCTTAACTATATTTATCTCAGGTTTGTTCAGTCTGGTCTATCTGATCTGTCAGTTTGGTCTGTCCTAGACTAATTGCAATGAAAATCAGGAATATACTAGTTTGTTGAATCATACCATGAGAATGGTGCGATATAAGAATTGTGCCCCACTGCGTTCACTGTTAGGCTGACACAAGATCTCCTCTTATCTACTTTATACAGTTGCACAGAGAATGAATTTTTATAGGAAATTAATGTTGCTTTTTCAGTGATGTTCTGCCAATAGCAAGAAGAGTCCTCAGGACTGACAACAGAATTAAGGGAAAGCAGGAAACACAGTGGCAGATAACCTGTCTTAGAAATTAAGAGAGTCTACACAGAGTGGAGAGGTTCTGGAAATTGTTGTTCTGCCTTTGTAATCCTCCTTTTAACCAAAACCAGACCAAATAAAAAGGAAATAAAACCTAAGAAGGAACGCAAGAGGCTTGTTCTTTGGGTAGTCACTGTAATCAAGTTGTGTCACCACTGCAGTTTTTACAATACTGGCATTGTGCTTTGCAGGGAGAAGAGACCCACGTACCTTTGGTTGCCAGCCGGACACAGTTGATTTTTGTTTCCTGAAAAATACAAAAACAACACAGGAAAACATCAAGATGTGTCACTTGCCCATCTACAATAAACATACACTCCTTAAAAAGGAAGTAAAACAAACAAGCATTTTTCTTACACTTCCATCTCTGAAAATACCACCAACAGTTCTATTTGCATGAAACACTCCATGCTAATGGACTTGCCTACAGCTGCTTTCTCTAACTTGAGAAGAGTGACAACACGTTCTTCCACACTCCATGTGTGAGTGATGGGTCACATCAAACTGCCTGATTAACTAACAGAATTCACCAGTTAAATGACCTGAGCTGTAATGGGCAGAGAAGCCATGGGCCAAAAGCACATGCAATTGTACATCTGATTCCCATGCAAGTTTTACAAATTGGGGATTTATTTAAACACACAGCAGGCAGACACTGGAGCAGCCATTTGAGGATTGGAGCTCTCTGCTATGTATGGGAAGCAGAAGAGCTGCTGTAGGGCAGCTCTGCCAAGCGAGCTGTTCCATCACAACCCACACCACTGCGGTGGTTAGTGCAGAGCTGGGCTAAAACCCAATGTGCTTGTTCCATCCACCTCAGAGCCCACAGATCTGCATAAACAGGAGTGTGGATCAGAACAGCAATGTTGTGTTTGGCTTAATTGACAGCTCAAAGCCAGCAGCCTTCTGAGGCCACCTCCACTGAAAAACCTGCTTTCTGCTATTCGCAGCTCCTCATTCTACAGCCCTTGCTGGCATGGGTCACTTCTGTCCGGTGCATGATTGCAATCCAAATCCGAATGTGTTGCTTTGGTTAAAAGCTGTGTCAGGCAGTCATCTGCTGCAGGGCTCTGTAGCACTTTTATGTCTTTACACGCTTTTGTACATGTCTCAGGTGTAATGAGTACTGCATAAATTACTGTGTGGAACAATGCTACATTAATATGGATGCTGCCTGTGCTCTGGAAACAACAGCCTTGCAAATGCACTGCTGAGCACCTCAGTGTGTCTGAGAGCAGAAAAATGAACACCAGGAAAAGCTGAATTTGCTCATAGAGAGAATCTGTTCCATCTGTGACAGGCCTCAGCCGGAGCAGAAACACACAGCCCCAGCGTGCCTTTCTCCATGTATATTGCACGTCAGAAGGGGACAATTGCAGGATCCACAATGGGATACACAAGAGCAATTCCCTCCGATTCCTTTCCATGCATGCCTCAGGACACCAGTCAGCCGTGCTACCTGGATACAAGCAGCCGTGTGTATAGTCTAGAAACAGTGAGTTATGCAGAAGGAAAAACTGTCCCTTTCATGTTGCCTTCAAACTCTCTCAAGGAATTCCTAGATCACCAAGGACAAATCACATCTATTAAGGCTATACCTTCCCAGCCATAGAGCCCCCAGAGTGGGACTGAAGCCCTGGTTATCCCAGTAAACCAGAGGCATCTCTTTGGTGCACTCACCCTTCTCTACCTTCAAAATCATCTCCCCTACACAACCTGTACATCCATCAGCACTGCAAAGCCACCACAGCTGTAGAACAGAGCTCCCCATTCATGTCTGCATGTGGGTAATCAGTCTGAGTTGCCAGCTTATTCTGGAAATCCAAAATCTATTGCTAGTGATGATACACGAAGCAGGAAAAACACAGCTTTATTTTCAGAGCAGAGCCTCAGCACACAACGCTGGTAATGGGAATTATCAGACAGATAGATCCTGGTGGAGTTTACAATCCATGACAAGATGACCTGGAAAATCTGCGATGAAAATTAAAAGAAAGAATAGCAAGATAGCAGCTTTGCAATCTAAAAGGAGGTGGACACTTGCTCACATTTTGTTGAGGTCAATTTTCTTGCTTTCAGTTAGCTTCAAAGTGTAGCAAAAAGCTGGAGAAATCAGTCAATGCTGACAGAGGAAGAGGTGAGAGAACAAAACCTGAAATGTTGTTAATGATGCTGTAACTGATCTCATTTGAGCATGTGCATATTCCTGCACTTTACCCTCCCACAGGGCAATTTGAGAAGACAGGATGTGTGTTCTGTCTGCATCTACATCTACTAATTGCTGCATTTAGCACAGACAATAACAGTTATTACAAGACCATGATCTGCCACTGCCAAAAGCAAGGGCAATCGATCACTGGAGGAACAAGACATCTGGACTTCAGAACTTCATTTCAAATTACATCTTCTGAGAAGGAAAACATAAAAACCTGCACCGACACCAGGCATCCAGCTACGAGGGACACTGAACTTGGAAGACTTGAACTTAGTCTATATTCCTGATTATGGCTGATTATTCCATTGATTTCCACTGATCACCTCATTGATCAACCCACTGCTCATCTCTTTGGGGAATTATAGAAATAAGATCTCTTTAGATTTAGTCTATTTTTCTTTGATGCTGCGAACTGTGAGCTTGAACTTTTCTACCAAGAAATGTAATAAATACATACAAACTTCAGATTTAGACCAGGGGCTTTCCTGTACAGTGAAGATGCTTCTCCTTAGCCAATTGTAAAGCAGGAATAAACAATGTAGGTTATTCATTATTCATCCTGGTGGCTTAAATCAATTATAAGAGAAGCACTGAAATAAAGGGATAGTAACAAAAAATTTTAGAAAATTAAAAATAAAATCCCCAAATTTTAGTCTCTATGTCATTCCCAAATGTTCTTTCAAATGCTTTATATGCCTGCAACAATCTTAATGATGACCTAGGATCCTACATATAAAGTGTATCTACTTCATTTTATGGCTGAAGTCAAAGGAATACCTTAATTTAAGATCCCAGTAGCACTAATTAATTCACCTCTGTATCACTGCCAGGTTAAGGCAGGCATTTATATCCAGTCATTGAACAACGCAGGCATATTTTAATCAAGATCCTGGAATGGGAAAACACTGCATGAACATATCCTAGAGCTCTCGATCCAACCTTCAAAAAATTCTACCACAGAATCTCAGACTGGTTTGGGTTGGAAGGGACCTTAAAGCTCATCCAGTTCCGACCCCCTGCCACGGGCAGGGACACCTTCCACTAGAGCAAGTTGCTCCAAGCCCCTGTGTCCAACCTGGCCTTGAACACTGCCAGGGATGGGGCAGCCACAGCTTCTCTGGGCACCCTGTGCCAGCGCCTCACCACCCTCACAGGGAAGAGCTTCTGCCTCAGAGCTCATCTCAATCTGCCCTCCTGCAGGTTCAAGCCAGTCCCCTTGTCCTGTCCCTACAGGCCTTTGTCCAAAGTCTCTCTTCAGGTTTCCTGGAGCCCCTTTAGGTACAGGAAGACTGCTATATTCATTTTGGAAGACTGCTATATTCATTTTTTATCATGCTTCTTATCTAGAAAGTTTACTGCACATTAAGCCCATCTACATGTTGAGTAGAACATCATCAATGTAAGTTTGTGTTCTGGAGCTTACTTCCCTATGAATAAAACATGACCACTGTGTACCTTCACTGAAGGCTGAACCCTGGTTGTATTGGTAGGTCCATACACCATGGACACAGACCATAGCAGGTTGGTGTTCCAGAGTGCTGGCACTGTTCCTGTAGGACAGACTGGACCTATTGTTAGAATGAGCTGGAGACCCTCTGAGGAGCACCCTGACTGTGCTGAGGAGCTGGGTGAGCCCTTACTCCCAACACAACTCCTTCATAAAGCCTTGAACCTGTTCTAGCATCCCTCTGAGTCTTCAGGAGGTTTTTTAACATTTTACAATTGTTAAAATAGTTTGTTTCATGCAGTTTGTTTCTTTTTTGAAGCAAGGGAGCTGATGCTGTCTACTAATTACTTAGGTTCCTAAAGGTGCATTTCACGGAAGTACTTGGATGATAGCAAGACAAGTTCTGCCTCTGCCTCTTCAGTGTTTGGATGGGAACAATTTTCTGTGGAAAAGGGCTATGAGGGCACCAGGACATATGTTTATGTGACAGCTGAGTCTTCACAACTTAAAAGGTCAGCTGATTTTTTTTATTTCAAAATGACAGCTTGCTGTTTACAGCCTATGAACAACAATAAAAGCAGTCGAGCTTTTTCATCCATCTGTTTTCACATCCACATTTTTTGCTTCCCTTTACTATTATTATGACTGTGCATTGTTAACCAGCTCCTGCCTTGTCTGAGCACCAGTGAGAGCTCCTGTCCCCAGCACGGGGCTGCCCTGCCACAGGCACGGTTCCATCAGACAGCTGCAACATCTGCTGGTGCAGACAAGTAATCACCAACCTCCCACTTGGCCTCAGGGTCAGCTTCAGTTCTCCACATTCCAGAGCTATACAGGCAGAATGCTTGCTGGGGACCTGCTTCACAGAGCACAGAAACCATGGGGAACATCTCAAGGAATCCCAGACCAGTTTGTGTTGAAGGGACCTTAAAGCTCACCGAGTTCCAACCCCTGCCACAGGCAGGGACACCTTCCACTAGAGCAGGTTGCTCCAAGCCCCTGTGTCCAACCTGGCCTTGAACACTGCCAGGGATGGGGCAGCCACAGCTTCTCTGGGTCAGTGGACTCTCCCATAATTTCTATCACAAGCTTAAGGAAACTGCTAGTTCTCTAAGTAACTAAGGTAGTTCTCTAAGCCTAAGCAAAACCTAGTATTGCCTTTCCAGGAATCTTTTAGTATCTGTGTCACTTGGGGAAGGGAGGTTTAACAAAGTGGTGGGGCTTTTACTATTTAAAACAGAAAGTTATGTCAATGATATATAGCTAATCACTGAAGATGCACACCTCTCAGCCTCTCAGATGTGAGGCAGACTGGAGGAGGATTGCATTTTTTCTCCAGAAAACACACAGGTCATAGAATTATAAAATCACAGAATAGTTTGGATTAGGGACCCAACAGCTGGGAAGGGACCTTCAAAGGTCCACATACTCTGAACCAATATGGCCAACCAGATGTGGAAACAGAGGCTTACACAGAATGAAGCGCTTCCACAGCTGCTTTATTTCTGCCCCAGCAGCTCCAACATCAGATTAAGGAGGAGTAAATCTACGTGGTCAAAACTGCACCTGCGATCCTACAGAGCAGAGCTCCCCAAAGCTGTTTAATTGCTCACAGCAGCAATGTGGGCAACCTTGATGACACTTCATTTGTCAAAACACAGCTCGTGCTGAAGTACCTCTCTGTTTTTCCCATGGGCCATCTCCACAGGAATGAATGCCACCTCTCTGCTGGCAGCTCTATCCATACCTACAAAATGTCCCAAAAGAACAATGCTGTGTACTGTGAGCAGACCTGTCAGACTCTAGACATCCAGCCAGAAGACCCCTGCTAATAATGAACTGCCCGATTGTGCATGTAGTACAAGTCAATAGAGAGGAAAAAAGATCAATAAGAATCTCTGTAGAGCCTATTATTCCCTCACCAATAATATTCTCATTGATTCCACTGGTGCTGCTTTTACAATCCTGTCCTGAAAACACCACCCACCTGTTGGACCACCAGGCTCACATCATCTCCAGCTGTGCTAGTAAGGTCCTGCCTCATCTCTCACTTAGAGGAAAAATGGCCAAGAGTTATTGATTGAAACGGTACCATTGCAGATTTCGTTTATCTCATTGAGGATGAGTTAAACTACAGGGAAGGTTTTTGGGAAGCTGCTCAAAAATTCAAGCAGGCTTCACACAGCAGCCAAAGAGTTCTCCCCATCAGAGCGTGTTGCTGGATCACTAACCAGAGACTGTCACCTACAGAGACCCAGATAAAGAACCTGGGGACAATAAAAACCTGCAACATTTAAATTTTGATTATTAAGTCAGTATAAGGGTAAGAGAGGATAAGGAGTAACAGGGTGTTGCCATACATGCCTTGCCTAATGGAATTACAGAATGCTTGGGGTTGGAAGAGACCTTAAAGCTCCTCCAGTTCCAACCCCTGCCACGGGCAGGGACACCTTCCACTAGAGCAGGTTGCTCCAAGCCCCTGTGGTCAGCCTGGCCTTGAACACTGCCAGGGATGGGGCAGCCACAGCTTCTCTGGGCACCCTGTGCCAGCGCCTCACACCCCTTTCAGAGGGATGAACACTGAAGGGGCTGGTGTTTTGAAGGGGCTGAGCTTGGGGATGTTTTTCAGGCAAGGAAAGCTTCCTGCGCTGTCAGGCAGCCATCTGTAGCAGGTGGCACCAGCACAACCAGCAAATATTACTTAACTACCTTCAACAGCATGTATGGAGATCCTGCCAGAGGAAAGCGAAGCCAGTTGTCCAGTCTTCCTCCTGTGTCATTTCTTGTGCTCTTTCTAACAATTATACAGTAACTAATGGTGCTTCTCACCCCCACTGGTACAAAGCCCAGAGCTTCTGTTTTCTTTCTGTCTTTTTTCCCCTCTTACTTCAAGCTGTGACACATTTCAGCGCAGCATCTGGCTTTCGACAGCCCCTAGGAGGGAAATTCACACAATTTGGAAGCGTTTTGTATAACAAAGCTCAGAACTCTTCTGTTTCACACATGTTCTATTTAGACCCCTGTCTGGAAGCAGCACCACATTGACCAAACTTCAGGCAACTGTGCACAGAAAAGAATTCAGCCAGCGACAGTGATCTCATTCAGCCTTCCAAACAAGCCCAACCCTGCACCAGAGAAGGCAGAAAAGCTTGTGATCTCATTTTGCAGCAATCTGCCACACTTGTTTTGCATCCAGCTGTTAATTATGTTCCTTTCACTGTAACAACCACAGCTAATGGTTGCAGAACAGACGAGAACACCAAATGAACACAATGTACAGAGAAGCCGAAACAATATAGAACTCCTACAGCACTTCCAACCTCCTCCTAATCAAGCTTTTTGACCACATAACCAAATGTTTCTTCAACTTAAGCTCTCCCCAGAGCCCTACATTTCCAAGGGAAGATGTTCTGGTTCACTGCACAGAGGTTTCACATTGCAGCTTCCAGATGTGGACAGGAGTTTTGTGATTCCAATCCTGTCAGTGATTAACGAAACTACAGAATATCCTAATTAAAAACTGAGTGCCAATGTTGTGTTGAGCTTTTCATGTGCAAGGGAACACAAGGCTGTATTGCATTTGTGCTAAATTGTTACTGCCTCAGAGTTTTTGGGGGTGTGCATTATCAGAAATGCCATGTTGCAGCCAGAACTATTAGTTCTCTTTAAGAAGAGCAGTCAAAGCTGCTCAGGTTATAGATGCACATGAAACCCTAGAACTCTTAAACACAAATGAGACCTGCAATAATACCCTTATACACAAATTTATTTTTTTATACATACATACATACATACATATATATATATAAAATTCTGCAAATGAAACAAAACTATTTATAGATAATGTTTGAAATGTGGGGCTTAAGGATTTTACTACAAAATCAGAAGTGTCACAGCCACTCCTCTGAAGAGCCACATCCCATTCTTGGCTATTTCCAATGTATTTTTTCCCTTAACGCTGCACTTCCAGGATGTATAAGCATATACTGCACCAACATAAATTATTATTGCTTGCTCAAACAGGAATTTGCTTTGTCTGGCAGGAGATTTCTCGTGCTGCCATAAACTGTGTATCATTGCATACAGACTCTTTTGATTAACCCATGGTTAAAAAGTCCTTTCCAGCCTTGTTTTCCTATCGGAAGAGCACAAGCAAGTCATCCTTTTCTGGGTTGTTACCACCTTATATGTAGAGTGTGATGCAACCTGCCAGCTCCAGAGATTCAGCAAAAGCAGGAACCACACATCAGTGCTGCCTTAATCCAGAATGCCAAGGGAAGCCAACATTTCCATCACATATAACCCATTTATGGCATGTTGTACTTAAGCAAATAAAGTTTCTTCTTCCTTGGGGATCCACTCACCAGCAATTAACTATCACACAAGGGGGAACTAACTAGACACAGACACACATATATAGTTCATAATTTCCTTTATAAAGGCAAATCCAAAACTGAATTAATCGAGCAGTGCTGGAAGGAACCTATCAACTAGACAGGAAACAAAGGTGAAAAGTGGAGTATTGCAGAGATTTGTGCTTGTCGGGCACACAGGAGGAACTCCGCAGGAGAATGGTGATAAATGAAGGTAGTAAAGCACCAAGATACGTTGTCAGCATTCACTGGCATTGCCAGCCTGTTAAACAGAGCACAGTCCTCTGTGATGTGCAGCAGTGTTCTGGGTGTAAAAGACACTGTCCCAAGGGGAGACCAAAGCCTCCACCATTCACCTTTGATTGATTTTTCTGATCTTGCTCTTTCAAAGTTGATGTCTCAGAGAATTTACCTACATGGAAGTTAGATTCATGGAAGTACAGGCAGATGTGCTAATAACAGACTCAGCTACCCAGCTTCCTGATGCCATGTTAATGCTCTGACACTCTTCATGGGGTCAGAGTGTCAAATTGTATTGTGTTATGTGATAATGAAAAACAATCAAGGGAGTCAAAGGGGAGGAAGGTGAATGTGCTTAGTCTGGATCTGGCCTGCAGACTGTTAGCTGAGCTGGGCTGGAACAAGAGAGGTAGAAGAGAAGGTCCCAGACTACCCTAGGCTGA